AAACTGTTCCTTGTTCCTTTATTGATGACAAATGTTTTTTATTTTACCGTTCGATCCAGGTATTTTGCTTCGCCTAGGACTTGAAAGCACTTTCGCGACCAAATTTGCCAAAACCAGCAATACAAAACTAAATTTGAGTATTATTTGTATCATCCTGTGGCTGACAGAAAAGAACATTACTATAGGTACGTTGAAGCCGTGCAGACAACTAAACTGTTAAAGACAGGAAATACCTTTCGAAAGGGGAGTTGATGAATTGATTATAATTTATTGATTGACAGAGTTTGCTGAGTAGATTTTTGTTTTTTATCAATTCTAAAAAAAACATCGTGTTTTAAAACAAGGGCTTGTTTTGAATCAAAATTTTTCTGTATTTTATTGAAATACTCTTTGCATCGCCGCGAAACTACGCCAAAACGTTGTATTCTGGCAGCTGCACACGCAGCCGGTATTATAATTTCAAAAATGTGAGTAAAATTTTATATTTTGACTTTTACCACTATTGCGTACACTTTATATCTCCACCAAAGTCATAAATAAGATTCTACCCGAAATGTTTAGCCGAGATATCAGAGAGACGTTTTGAGTAAGAAAAATCATGAAAATTAGCTCACGAGCCTACTACAAAAGCAATTCGATCAAGTTCAGCCCTTCGGCAAAAACGAGTGGGTTGCGATAATGAAGAATATGGCTGATAATACGGCGGTAATCTACTTATATAAACGATGAGACACCCTAGCTTAGCCTATGTTAATTGTAAGAGTCCTCTGATGCAAAGACGCCACAACTAATTTGTTATGACTGAGTTTTTAGTTTAGTTATTCTGGTACGTGCGAGCAATTCCAATCACTTTGCGTCGCAAAGCCTATACCAGTACCCGAGTGCCACTGTCATGTTAGCAAAACTAGCTAGCAAAAACATTTTTTGTGCCCTAAATTACTAGAAATTATACCTTGAATAAAAGTGCGTCCCGCGGCTTCAATTACTTAAATCTGGCCCTCCTGTAACAAGAGAGCAATGCTCAAATATATGGACACGCAGAACAATTCCCCGAAAATCATATGCGGTGACCAACGACTAACATACCGGCGGTGACTTACCAGTACCTGTATCGGGGTACCGTGACGGTACAGGGACTGTCATAGATATTTTAGGTCCTGTGACAATTGAAACATCAGTTGAAATATCTCGTGATATGAGTCAATTATGTACCGTATTATCGGATCAGGTACCGAACCACAGTCAAACATTTCAGATAAAAACGTTACTAAATAACATGCGTCAACTTAACACCAGCCGAATCGGGGTACAATTTTTGGTACAGTGACTGTCATAGCCGTTTAGGGCTGATGGACAATTCGACTACACGGACAACTCACCAGGCCTAGGGTGGTGTAGCCAGTCTGCGGACAATTTCATTCAAACCGCTATAAAACAAAAACCAATATATCTAACCCGTTAATTTTTTCACCGTGGGTGCATTGGCGGCATTTATTCTACACGCTAAACCTCGTATTAACTTTCTACGACAAAGGGTTGAAGCTATACAAATCCCCAAAGTACGGCACTCGAAAGACGTATTTGCGACCGAACGACCAGTGTGCGACCACGGATTTCAAGCCTTGATCATCGTTTATGCTGCGTCGAGACTATCGCATACGCAGCCATACAGCAATCAAACAGACAAAACACGGTGGTCGCAAATTGGTTGACAATTGTTGGTCTTGTGACAGCGTGAAAACATTGGGCTTCTAATTGCATTTCTGACCGTCATATATTTCAAGAACACGGTTATTTCGAACAAAACTCGTTAAATTATAAACAAAGCACCACATCACAGCAATCAAACAGACGAAAACACGGTGGCCGCAAATTGGTTGACAAAGATATTATCGACGTATCGGAAATGCACACCCCCTATTCCCCCTCCTTCAAATGTAGAAACGCGAAACTTTCAAATATGGTTAAAAGAAACACAACTCTACCCACCTGCCAAGTTTCATCTTTTTATTTCTCATACTTGTATGGATTTTCAAGCTTTTGACAGCTACGAGTTAGTTCAGTGTCACCGCGCTGTGTTACGGTACCAGAACTCCTGTCTTGTGACAGCGTGAATTGAAATTGCAAGATGGTCCGTTGGACACAAAATGGCGTCCGATATCCGCAGAACGTTTAGTGACGTCATAGCAAACAAAAACAAATCTTACAGAGCTAACAGGAATATTTGAAATAAATAAAAGTAATAGCCTTCTGGAGAAAAATTTCATCTTCAACCACTGAAAATTTCAAAGCAATTAGTCCAGTAATCAAAGAGAAAAGCGACATTTTAAAAACGTGTCAAAGAACAAGAACAAGAACAACAACAAGAACAAGAACAAGAACAACAACAACATAATATTGAAACGATCGTTATGTCCACTACGTGTCCAATTACCGTATATGGCCTACAGTGTACAGGTAAGATGCTGCCTGACTGCTAACTCAGTACCGCTCGACACGTTTATAAAAAGTCGCTTTTCTCTTCGAATACTGGACCAATTGCTTTGAAATTTTTAGTGGTTAAAGATAAAAATTTTCTCCAGAAGGCTATTACTTTTTTTTTCGCTATGACGTCATCAAAATTATGTGACTCTACGTGTCCATATATTTGAGCATAGCTCTCTTGTTTTGATGAGAGTCTACTGGAAACAACATAAAATTTGAAAGGGAAGAATTGTTCTGTGATCAATTATCTGTCCTAAAGTGTAAACAACATAAAATTTGCAAGGGAACAACTGTTCTGTGATCCATTACCGTATATGGCCTACAGTGTACAGGTAAGATGCTGCCTGACTGCTAACTCAGTACCGCTTGACACGTTTTTAAAAAGTCGCTTTTCTCTTCGAATACTGGACCAATTGCTTTGAAATTTTTAGTGGTTAAAGATAAAAATTTTCTTCAGAAGGCTATTACTTTTTTTTTCGCTATGACGTCATCAAAATTATGTGACTCTACGTGTCCATATATTTGAGCATAGCTCTCTTGTTTAATTGATATTATCATGGAACGTAACTTTTCTGAACTTTCGAACTCGTCTTTGTAAAAAAAGTTCGAGTCGTAATACTCTGTTGGCTGCAAGCTCTCATTTATTTGCGACGAGTGTACCCCAGACAAAATATTATGCCTAATTTTTTTCCCTATAGCTCCAGTCATGTTGAATTCATAACCTCATTGCTGCTTTCCTGGTCGTTTTGACAGGAACTGCTCAAATTCTACGGTCAAACGATGTTTACTAGGGCGTAACTCACCTATATAATTCTTAACAGTCTCAATAACTCTCAGTAAAAGTTTATTGTATAAAACTGCTAAATTCAACTGACATATGTGCGACTGGGAGACACATTAGGAACTTTTCTTCAGAATTTTAGTTGAAAATGACTACTTCTCCAATTCGCTATTCCTGTAACCCTAAACCATTGCCTCATCGATTGGATCCCGATTTTCCTAAAAACTTAAGTGAACGTTTACAAACGAGTTATCACATCACTACCTTTTCTAATTATCCGTTCAGAATGACTCCTTTTCCATCTCTTATTCTTATAAATCCCTAAATCATCGCCTCGTCGATTGGATCCCGATTTTTCCCAAAACGTTAACAATCGAGTTATCACCCCACTACTCTTGCGGTAATTCGCATCGTGTTCCACTTGGAATTTAGGACTAGGAAAAATCAAAAATCACATTCCAAACATAAAATTTTTGGCATAAAATTCATAATGTTTAAATACATGTCATCCTGCTTTTCCAGTTTTGCTTTGGTTATGTTATCCAAGATTTTACTCGAATGAATATCTATTATATACTCACACGAATTTAATCACGCTTTGGTGTAACCTCTAATAAGCGACATCATTTATTAAACATTACAACATCTCTTGTGATCAATTATTCGCTATAGGCGGAAAGTCTGAGGCATCAAAAAGGTGTTACAGCGGTTTACCAACCTAGGTATAGTTAGGGTTTTGTTTTTTTATCAATTTAAAAAAAAAACAGCGTGTTTTAAAACGAGGGCTTGTTTTAAATCAATTTTTTTCTGTATTTTTTGTATTTTTCATCGAAATACCCTTGCATCGCCGCGAAACTACGCCAAAACGTTGCATTCTGGCAGCTGCACATGCAGCCGGAATTATAATTTCGAAAATGTGAGTAAAAATTCTTATTTTGACTTTTACTCCTATTGCGTACATTTATCGCCACGTTTGTATCTTCACCAAAGTCACAAGATTTTAACCGGAATGTTTATCCGAGATATCAGAGAGACGTTTTGAGTAAAAAAAATCATGAAACTTAGCTCACGAGCCTACTACAAAAGCATTTTTTTCATAAAATGAAGGCATTATTACGGTTAATACTGTCCGGTTAATTTATGCTTAGCATACTTTGTTTTAAGGATTGAAGTGATAGAGTTTTTCAAGGTTATACAAACTCATTTATTCGATCGCATTTTAAATTTCGCAAATTGGTTTCGTCGCATTAGGGTCGTTCACGTAATGTCTTACCGGTTGCGTCTTACTGCGCCAACCACTGAACTACAGCTTGAGAAGGTGTGTATGAGCCTCTATCGATATTTGTGGCGTTTTGTAGGATTTATTGCAAATAAGAAGCGCTTAGTAAGTTTTAACATCCATTTTTCTTCAACCTATTTAGTACAAAAAAATCAAATAGTACAGCCATTTTGAACAAAACAGGCAAAAAAAACTTGATTTAAAACAATTGATTTAGGACAATTCTTTTTGAACAAATGCCTAGGTATAGTTAACATGAGGCCGAATGGAGAGGAAAAATCGCAGTTCTCTGCGGCGAATAAAAATGAGCAAAGCAAACAGTCAAGGCGGCGAAAAAAGTGTCATATTGAAAGCAACAAATATAATTTACAAACTATTTTAATGCTTGATTTGCGAAATTGATTATCTTGACACAAATACTTGCTATGCCTAAGTCGGGTTAATAATTTAGAGAACCATAGTCATAGTCAAGTTTATTTTTTCCATCCAGTACAAAAAAGTTAACATGCAAAATTAAGAGGAATAAATAATATTGAATACACATTTCACTGGGGAGGGGAAGCCGCGAGGAACCAAAGGTGGTTATCAAGCAGCGACACCCAAGGTTCAAGTATCTAAATAAACATTAGCAAGTTTCAGCAACTTGATTGTTACAGCACTGTTTTTTTTTATTCATGGGCGGATTTCGGTAGTTGAACCATCTAATTGATAGTTAAACAACCAACATCGCGCAATACAAATTACATGTGATTAACATTAGGTATCCACGGTCTTTATCCTGTTGCCAATCCATGTCGGGTTTGAGATTAGTTAGATGGAAATAAAAACTAAATAGAAAAAACAATTGAGACGCACTAGTATTTTTGAAAAGGGCGCGTCCACACATCAATACATCATTTTGTCGATTATTGTACAAACTTGTACACATGGCCGGCACATCCAGAAATAGCTGATTAAAATGGAAGCAAGAAATGATATTTGTTGAATAGAAATGTTTGATATCAAAAATAAGTATTGAATATACAAACGGTCTTTATATACTGTGCATATATACAAGTTAGTAGTTCACCGCCAACACTGGCAAACTGAATTATTCAACACGAATGAGAAGGTGTGACTGTTACCCTTGAAATTATAGAACATTTTTGAAAACCATCCGTGAACCTCACTCAGTGAGTAGTAACGTTAATTGTCCACACCCGTGCGTAACGCCTTGAATATTTTAGTCACTAACTTCCATTCCATAGTAGCATGATGTTGTTGTATTCAAGAAATGTTGCCAGATCGTATACACGGAAAAATAGTTTTTTGCCATTCGGCAAAACTCACTACTATCATCGTAAGGTTCGCAAATGAACTCATTGTCACAGCCAAAGGCAGAAACGTCCCTCCAATCGTTGCTGCTACGACAGAAGCAGCAGTATCACTCAAGCAGCAAACCAGAGATGTATAGAATGCTTTTCTCAACACCGGTGTCAAGTTGTCAGCAGCGCGTCCGATAACAATTTGATGCTGTCTCAATGGGTGTATGAACAGACCTAAAATCATTAACTGTAATATTGTTGAAGACATGCTAATGATAATCCAGGGAGTTTTGGTTGGTATTGTGGAAGATACTACCATACAACCACCTTCAGTCACTTCACTATGAAATGTAGCTATAGAAAGAACGGCGTTGGAAGTGGGTAACAACACGCTCAAGACCACTACGATCACACTTATGGTGCGTGTAATGGGGTTTGTTAAATGAGACATTGAAGGATTACTGTAGATTACGCGATGTCTCAACCACATCGCTAAGTAACTTAGAACAATAGTGATGCTGAATGATCCAATGCGGTATAATTTATAAACTTGACAATACTCAGGATAGTAAAGATCGACCAAAAGTCGGATCAGCCAGCAATCTAGGTACGAAATGTTTGAGACGGTAGCTAGCAAGAGTCTCATTATTTTCATCCAGGCACCAAATCGTTCTCCTACACTTTTAGCTTCACGCAATCCAATCCCAGTAGAGCACATTTCAATAATTAACATAACCATGATATATGTCGTTGCTATAAAAAATATAGCAGGGAGTATGAGCGTGATTGCCCAAACTTTCAGGCCCTTTCCGTTTAAAATCATATAATATGTTTCGCCATAGGAAGTTGAATCAGTCCAATTCATTTTTCTCCAACACGACTCTTCGCTGATGTTTCATAGGACTTTTCGATAATAACAATGATATGAAATGAGGAAACGAATCGTTTATGTACATCGAAATTTTTCGCCATAGCTTTGTTATATTATAGCTCATAACAACATAATTATAGTACGTTTGATTTGTCAATACCTGGAAGTATTATTTGTATGTACTACAATTAGATCAATTAGTACAGCAGATTACAGGGTATTTGAAATAGCTATTGCATCAAAGATAATATATTCTTATATATTAGGGCTAATTTGATCAATACCCAACAACAGCCGAGAACAATCAAATCAATGTTGAAATTTTTTTAGAACTGCAGGCCTGATGTTACAGAAGAAAATCAATAATCTAAGGCAAATTAGCTGGTAATTTAATGATAAACATTTGAACATCTTCGGTTTCGCAAATATGTGGTTACAAATATGTGCCTCTATAAAACAATTGCCACGTTTTACCTCGTGCCCTACTATTTTATTACTATTGATCTCAGGATCTTCTTTAGAAAGCCACCGCCAAAAACACCGCCGTCGCTGAAAATGAAAATAAAATAGTATTTATCTGGTACAATTTTTATTCATTGATGGACTTCAGCGATGTGATGGTTAATGACGACGATAGGGATAATGCTGGAAATTCCTTTCGAATAATTCGATTTGGCGTTAATCAACTTTGACACTGGCAACCCAACATACGCACAGACAATCTCAACTCTTTTAGGGTAAACTCGTCGGATCCCGCCAATGATCAGAGTTTAAACTATTTGACAAGCACTTTTGGACTACCGCAGAAGAACGTCATAACAATCATTTGTACGAATATGACAACAGAGGAAATTATGATGTAATTAACTTCCATGATCCAAACCCCTGAAAGTGCGTGACTTCCTCACAACTTGGCATCGCACATGACTGTTAGTCTCAAAACTAGGGGAATCCGAAAACATCTGTAAACTCCACCCTACGAGTAGTCACGTTTATTTTCCACGCCCGTGCGTAACACCTTGAATATTTCAGTCACTAATTTCCATTTTCAATGTCGTGAAGAGTTTCTCCCAACATCGTAGTCAATGTGGGGTAAAAATAAAGTTCCTATTCAGCGTGACAGGAGATCCCAAGGTACGTACCTTCGTGACGTAACCCCGTTTGAATGTAAACAATATATTCAAAAGTAATCGTGCGTTCTTTCTTGTATCACACGTTAATCTATTGAGCAATCTTGAATAAAAGCCGAAGAGTTGTTGATTGATTGATAGACTCGATTTATGTATATTTATATACTTAATAAAATCTAACTTCGGATCAGTTTTCTTGAACTTGCGGTAAACCGTGATAGGTTAATGAATCATTCCAGAACATTAAGAAAACGTGTACCGATTGGTTTGGTTTGATCTAGAGTGATCTCCGCACATCTATAATGTTACATTTCTTAGAATTTGATCACTTCTCTCCGTCTCTCATCTGGAATCTCACAAAATCTCACGCAAGATCCATTTGCGGGATTTAACTCATTATTAAAACACTTGCTGATTACGAAATATATCAGACGTGCTACTTGATGCCGAAAATAAATAGCTGGAATTATTATCATGGTATTGGTAACAGCCCTCTATATTTATTCTATTTTTTGTCGCGTTTTTTTTTATTTCTATTTCCTCATTTATTATAGTGGTAAACAGGACATAGGTGTCATGGGTGTTAAATTTTGTTTCAAATGTGGCATATATCGCAAAAGTAGTATGGCAATAGGTTAGTTGAGTTGAAATCGCATTATGTACTTTGGATCTAATAATTTTCAAACTTTTTGGTATTTTATGGGCATAGTCGATACATCCTAATGCTAACATAACGCCATTAACGTTTAATGCGTGAAAAATCCATTAATAATATTTTGACCTTCAAAGCTTTAAACAGATATTGATCAAACCGCATGTTTTTTTCTACTTTTATCTTGATTCGAATCAGGATATATTGTTAGAATTTTAGCCTGTGCACATTGGTCAACAAGTAAAAAAAATGAATGATCGAATCCAAACTTTGTGTGTACGTACGTATATTGCAAATCGTGGCTGAAAACGCTCGTTAACACCTTATCCAGCCACATGTAAGTATATAGCCACTATATTATATTGAATACTGTCCGTTTGGTCAGAAAGTGAAAACTCGACAGAGTACTCCATGTGTTCCGACAGTGTTTCATCACAATTCAGTAAGCTGCATATTCCTAAAATATCGAATCGGAATTTGACGATTTATCAATTTTAATTCTGACATCATGCGTATTTGATTTGATTGATGCTATGTGCAACTGTAAATAATTTTTGATAAATGTACTAATTTTTTTATTTTTAAAATTCGAGTAAATAGCAGGTTTGTCATTGTGTAAATATCGCTATATGGAGGATACGATAAACTACAAATTTCAACCATTGATAGATGTTGTTTCTGATTTAACGGAATCACCCTACCTATACATAATCAGTTGTGTACTTTATTAAGTAGTTTACGAACAATAATAAAAATAAATTGTACAGTTTCTATTTCGAAGTTACTATTTTTATGTTATATATATATTATTGCGTGTAAGATTGCCATTGCATGTTTTTTCATTATGCGTTGAGGATAAACAAATCAAGCATTTGTGGATATATGAGATATTTCTAAATTGCCAAAACATAGAAAAGTTTAATTACATCGTCCGAACATCATAGTTGATTTGTTACATTATAGCTATGTGTTTTTTTCTTGACTTTTGAGGTCAGAGTACTTTCATTATTGTGTTATCACGGTTCAAGAGCGTTATATCTTCATTCGTACTTCTGAATCACAATATCATATGTTGGAGTGCTGACGTTGAATGGTTAACATTGGAATTGAAACTTACCGTTTGGGATTGATTACTGTACTTAATTGATGTGATTGACTTTGAATCTCCATTTTTTTTATTTCTATAGCTGATCGCTGTGTGGCGTACCGGAGCTACTTTTGATAGCTATCAATATCTTTCGTCTAGTCTAGGGCGCATGAATTATATCCGCAAGAAACAACTTCAAACTATTGAATTGAATAAAACATAAGAACTCTGGGATGAGGTATACATATATATTCAAACTAGGAATTAAATAACGTCCAAGCAGTTTTTGTTTGAATTTACCTATAATGAAAAAATGCAATAAATCATTATTGTTATTAAACAATTGATTAACAATTCCGAATTCTTTTTAAAAGTTGTTCCACTTTAATGGTATCAGACTGTTCATAGAAGCAAAGTTAACCGTACTGTACATCGAAATAAAAAAAATTCGCCTAACAAAGATGTATTTCGAGAACACAGCTAAGGTGTGCAGCGCTTTCATTTCCTTATTGCAATGAGTAACTTTGTGTAAGGTTCCATAAACCGAGTTTTTTTTTTTAAATCTTAATCAATTACGAATTCTATGTTTTGATGAAGTCATTTTCTAAAATTATTTTTTCCGTTTCAAACATATTTCCTCCAAACACCGTTTTCGTTTATGAAATATTTTTCGCTATGTAATCTTGTCAAATATATTGCCTTTGAATATAACGACACGGAATTGCTTAAAAAAAGATTTTCCCTCTAGCCGTTTCGACGTTTTAATCAGCGACTACGGGTCTCAAAATTAAGCAATAAATTCCGAGTCATTAGGTACGTAATACTTATTATGACGTTTTCCGTAAAATCAATAAGGAGAAAAATGACCAAGAGATATAAGTTTCGTTTTCAAATTCGTTTCTGATTTAAGAATCTGGTTTTGCGGAGCAGAGCTCAGTACGAAAGTAAGAAGTCACATTACTTAAAATAAACACCATTAACTATCGGACGGTAAAGAGTCACCAGACATAAATGACTCACAGGAAAAATGAAAAACCCTGTAAATATTCATGTTATGCGATACCTATTCTCATTAGAAGAACATGTTAAGTATAGAAACACAAGCTAAAACATTCAAGAAATGCATATTAGTAGCAGTGAAATTGAATAATATAATATTAGGTCATTACGACTGCTCTAAAAATGACCGGAATTTAAAATATATGTGCTATTTATCACTTGGCTCATATGTTCGTAATTCTAAGACTCTATGTATTTAAAATATCAATAACGTATTATTTCAAAACGCGGGATACAGATTCAAATCCGACGACCCGCACAAAACATTATCTCACTGTGGTATTTTTTTTCTTTTTTAGTTGAATATCAAAAATGCTTTAAACAGACAAACTTTGAAGATCGTAGCTGGATCGAAGAGTTCTACCTACTTTCAATCTGCAACTAATGCATCCTCGTGTTACGCCGATGTAAACACCACTGTATTGACTTTAAGGATAAACCGTTTTATTTTACAATGGACTTTGTTGGTTTTGGAACAAATCTGGACAGGTATACCATATGCCACGAAATTATATTTCAGAAAAAAGCATGCTGAATTATATGGAATAAACTTCTTCTGGTTTGTAGCTATGAAATGCGTTGACGATTGAATGAAAAGTCTATTCCCTATTTTTCCAAAGAAATGGTCCACATAATTTATTTCCAATTTAAACAATTTGTCATTCGATTCAACTACCCAAATGATTCTACTCAAAATATGTTGCATCTAGAGTGATTTCGCAAATTCAAATAATTTCCTCTTCGGTCTTGAATCTTGAATTTGAAAACATTAAATCGCGAAAGCAAAATTTCTAATCAATTGCTTTTTTTTGCAATGTGCCATTCTAGCGTAAACAATATTGAATATTTACGTTGAAATTCACAGATATCGGTCGCATTTCCTGCCTTATCGCTTATGCACAAGACAACGCGGGCATGTTGCAAAAAGATCAAGTGAAGATTGATCATTTTTAACCCCTTGTGTCGAGGACATTTTCATTTACTTCTCCAAAAACAATAAATACTTGGTTCGCGATGAAACGATAACGGGTTTCGGTACATAAGATATCCTTTTACAAGTTGGTCATTGTCCGTCAATTTATTTATTTTTTCAAGAAACGTTACATGCATTAGAATTCATGTTAATATGTAATGCGCAAAATTGAATTACTCTGTTCAAATATGCATTTTTCGAAACTTGGGCATAGGAAATACCTATAATGAAAGTGCATGTGACTCATTTGACTTTTTGTTGCCACCATAAAATAATAATGTCGATAGCTATGATTCAAAGGACTTCTACTTGAATATTAGCCTCTCTGATTATTTTTATAGATCATTTTTTTTTATATTATTTGGAATTAGGAAAATAGGTGTACAATAAACACGATCTAATTCAGTTCAATTAAACATATTAGACTTTCGTGAATTATTAAAAAATTCTTTTCCTAATGCTGGTATTTCAGTATTTGTTATAATCAACTTGGCTCGTCAGATCTCAATTTCCATCTCCGACATTTCGGGAGCGGTATTTTTTCTCGCCGAAACGCATTTAAGGCAGTTGAGCCCTTCGCTATCACTTCTTTTTATCAGCACATCTTATTTGCCGGCGGTGGCGTCGACACGATGCCTTACTTAGTCATATTCTACGGAATGCTGAATGAGACGTAAATAACCAATAAATTTGACCTTTATCGCGATAGTCGTCATATAAAAGAGCAATACCGAGTCAGAAAGAAGTCGTAGCGCAAGTGAGCTAATTTTTTTAGTCTAGTTGATCGAGAATTAGAATGGTATTCGAAGTAATCGTCAGCTAAGTTTCAGGACAAAACGAAAACGAGATCTCTCGGACTCTCGTTGCTAGTGATTGTGAGAAAAAATAATTTCGAGAAAAAGGCGTTATGGTTGATTGAACATGTACTAGGAGTCATTTATTTTGACGATGGTGTTTATGTCAGATCAAAACAATATTGAACCCCACACAAGTATACTTCTCATTTGACTTAGTTGATGTATTATTGATTACAAGTTGTGTAACTAACCCACATCAACAAATATCCCATCACTCGACATCCTCCTTTTTTGCCATAACGACAGACAACCTTGTATAATTACGGTCTCAGTTGTGGTTTTGTTGTTGTAAGTTTTGCCGGAAATTAGTTAGCTTGAGTTGATATAGATGGCTTTATCAACACTTTGATCAAATTATCGATGCTATTAGTAATTCAAATGAAATTTAAAGTGAGTTATTAGATTGCAACGATCTTCAACCGACTGTTTATTTGTTCAAGGTTTAACTCAAGATGATAGCAAATAAAAAATAAAAAAGTTAAAAACAAAAAATAATGTTCAAATAGAATGTTTACCAAATTTTCCAAAGTTGCATTTTAGAATTTCATTCGTTTTAGGAGAATAATTACGATTCCCTGCCTCGAGCATATTCGTTACGCAAAGTTCACATATTTTAAGATTTTTGATAGTTACATAATCAATTTTTAAATGAAATCCCCTTGTTTTGTAATTTAGTTTCGCAGATTCTATATTGGGTATAAAATTTTAACTATTTCAAGACAAATCTTGTCAAATGGCATCACTCAGTTTCTTTACCAGCTTACTATTGTTCGTTGTTCTGCCGATTTCATTGCTTGGGAATCCATGGGAAAAACCGGGATGTCATCTTACTGGTGGGTAAAATTATTCTATGTACTCACCCAGCTATCATGGGAGAAATATGCCCAGTTAGTCAGAACTAGATGTTTACAGTCTCGTAATTTTCTGGAAGAAAAACAAAATTTAAATTCCCCAACGTAATTCTGTTTACCAGTAATTAGCACTTGTTTTAACCAATTGTATGATTTCATTTTAACGAGCGAGGTTACTGCCCACCAATTCGGAGAAGGGCAGTAACTATATAAGATTTCCAATTACTATTTATTGCAACAGATATTACAAGATCGTGACTGTAGTGTACAGATAATTTAAACTCCCTACCAATCAGTCGAAAGGAATTAGGGTATTTTTATCTCATGTAGCGTCGATATGTTAAAAATAATCTCGCACGTGAAGGCGTTACAAACAAAAAATTTATTTAGGTTTCAGCCTGGTGGTCAAGAAAGAAAATTGTCAGAAAACCGTTGTACATATCAACGCTTGCAGAGGCTGCTGTGCATCCCTTTCCTATCCATCTTCTTATGAAACCGTCATGCTGTCACATGGAAGACACAATTTCACTTCTCGTGCATCATGTTGCTCCATTGCCAAAGCTCAAGTGGTAAGTGCATATCATCCATAAGACCGTGAATTTTCTATGTCAACTGAGTGCCTCTCTTCCTTAATCACTCACTCCCGTTATCATTATACTTAGTGAAAACAACGTTCTTGTTCTTCGCCATTTTACTCTAATATACTCTGATATGTTACGTAGGAACTCCAAAACATAGTAGGTAAAGAATAATGACGTTTGGCTTTTTCATTTTCTTTCATTTTAAAAGTTTTATTCCATCATATGGGTCTGCACGTTTTTCGCATGTATTGCGCCACCGCGGAGCGTAATGTAGCTGCATTGCACGTTAATGGCGATTCTGTAACAAATTTTAGCCGTGCTCATAACCTATGGCTGCTTTTAAAAACTATGAATATAAAGCAATCGCGATTACGCTTTATAGTTGGGATTTCAGATTCGTTTCAACGGACATGGCATTTCCGTGTCGTGCACGTATTTTACCTGTATCAACTTTTAATCTCTAGCGTTAACGCAAATTTAATCATACCTCAATGTTCTATTAGTTTTTAATGGATATATTTGCATAGTTCTTTTGAATTTCGGAAATGTTATAGACTATAAGATGCTTATCGTAAAGGCATTATTATAATCACCACTTCATTACATACACTAGTTCCTATGTTGCTCGTGCAGCACATACAGAATCAATGAAAACAAAATTGTCATGATACATCAAAACATGGTTTAAATGGGGAGTCTCAAAATGTAAATATATAAACAATTCTTTAGCTTCGAAAAATTAGCCCGCGCGACAAAAGAACCGACACTGAGTTACATTACTCAATTAGGATTATTATCCCAGTAAATAAACTTCAAATTAGTAAACTCAGTTGCAATAAACAGTCTGCGATTACGGTGCTATTCTTAGATGATCCGATCAGGTTTCGTACGAAATGTTTGCAATTGAACTTTACGGCTTTGTTGCGACTTAAACCAGGATTATAAACTTCATAGCGTAGACGTTTTCACCTGTCATCGCATAATCATCCACAGGAATTATTTCAAATTCTTCGAGTTTTCATTCAGTGCAACAATGCCAAATGATTTATATTGTGTATCATTGATTACTAAGAATCCGCGATTCGATTTTTATAAAAACTGAAAATAATGTGAAATTCGAAATGCGACACAACTATTCGATCCCGAAAAAACAATGCTTCTGTTTTGCCAGGTTCTAATAGTATAAAAACATACGCCAATAGATTGTTATTATGGTAAGCAATATACCCCGATTGAAAATTTTCCAGAACGTTAATTAATCTATTTCTATCATGTCAAACAATCACCAATTGACAGAAGTCGTCAGGTCATTAGTAATCAGCTCCACAAACGCCCCCTAGCATGCCGACCCAAACTTGAGCTTACGAAACTTCTGATGGCAATATTGCGGTTTAGGTGATTGATTTCTATAAATTTCATCATCAAGTTTTATAAGATTAGATGAATCACGCTAAGTTGTTAACTCAGATTTACAAAAAAATGTAGAAAATTTTTCCCTTTTATTCAACGCATTTCTTTGTTTATATTCAAATACTCTTTCCATGAACGATATCACTGCTTTGCATCTGAAGTTTACTAAATTTACATTCCGTGCGGCGGTTGTTGCCAAGTTAAGTTGGTTTGTATATACAAGTACAAGCATCATCATGAAATTCTTGTGCGACAACCACAATCAATTTTGTTTTTTAAACTTCGTAACATCACTCATATTGGTATGCTGGTTGATAATCAGCTACGAAACCTTTATGAAAGCAAGATATGAAGAATTATATACACATAAACAAAGTACAACTATTTTTTCGATTCGTTTTTTTTTTCGGGCAACGCGCGATGCCTGTGAATTTGATAATCATATTTTAAGGTGTTTCTTAGTTTTAAATAAAATGGCGCTAGGCATCTGCTATTCACTGATAACGGTTGAGTAATTAATTTCGGAACAGCTTACCCATTGGGCAATATACTATACGCATGAAATTTGGGTTAACTTGAGGGTCATAAATGATCAGCACGAGCTGTACCCGCAGTTGTTTGCTACCTTTCCGTTCTGTATATAATTGAGTTAGCAACTAACCGCCGTTTCTAATCGACCCGTACGTAGTGAATATTTTACCATGGCGGTTAATGGTGCCCCCAGCCTCATGTGCAGCTCAAATAGGTCTAAATGAATGGGCATGTGTTTATGTGTTGGAGATCTCTTGAGTAATTGTGTAAAACTCTCTTCAACTCTGTTGATTGACATTTCTTGTTCTATTTGTTAATTATTATCATCATCGGTTAGTTTCATGTTCAGTCTATAATCTCCAGCTTTTATCGAGCTGTCTATCATTTTTTCGAAAACGAAATGGAAAAGAGAAATTAAATGAAATTTTTATAAGGAAAATTTATATTCAAATAACCAAACAAGCAAGTATGCATGCTCAGGTCACACGAACTAATTCCTCAATATATGCACAGAACCCCGTCTATCCACGTGAAATTGACATTTGAAAAAAATATGTAATACTTTAATCTCGATTCAGTATGTTCAATATGAAAATTCTTACCACGACAAAAAACCACAAAGCCTTATGAACTATGCACCGCATGTATGAATAATCCCCCTTGTCTAGTCATGATTAATTGCCCAGCTACCGAACTTGTACTGCAAACTTGTCTGGCGAGATAATAGGCAGCTAATAATGATCCGGCAGAGTCAACATTTGCACAACTTGATCCTGTGAACTCATCTATTGTTTGAGGAACGACTTAGTTCGATGGAGAATGTTTCACTGCTTTGGCATTTGTTTTCCACTATACTGGTTATTAATCATTTTCTGACTTCAAGGTTAAAAGATAAATTATGAAGCATGTCCAACGTTTCCCCAAATTTAATTACACTGCCAAACAAGCATTGGTTTAGTCAAATAACATGGAATCTTTTTATCCTTCCCAAAGTGTTTTGTATTTTAGCTTTTTAACAATAAATAGAAAACAAACTTATACTCGTTAATTAAAACATAACGCTGAAAATGCGATTATACAATATCTGATACCGGTTGTTTGTTCCCGCTTTTTCTTTCAGAACTCGCACGTACTGTCATTTGATTTGCACTGATAAATTATTTCTAGGCTGAAAAAATTGTGATGACAATTTTTTTTAAATGTGTTATGTTTGACTAATTACGCTCAAAATGATCACAAGGTAATTCGTGACTCATTCGAAGCTTAACTCACAACGCATGATGTTACCGGAACACTGGTGAAATGTGGTGTTGATGAATTGGTAAATATTGTCTACAGTGCTAAATTGAATATAGCAACGGAAGGGTTGGGCCATATGGGAAGTTCAGGTTTTATATGTGGTGTATGTTAATAAACGTAGTTCATCCGTCGTGTAATTTTCTCTTTCGAATATACACAGTTAAGCTCAAGTTGGTATTAACATCGTATATATATTTATTATTTATTTTTCACGTTAGTGTTAAACCGGAATTCAAGCAACATGACAACGGATTTACATGTTATACATCATTAGCAAGTTCGTAAACTTGCTTAGATTTGCAAGAAATTCAAGTTCTTGATTATAGAATTATGACTTAATACTTCCATTTCCAGGCATGGCCTCCTATATCCCATAGGCCATAAAGGAAAAATTATTAAATAGTATAATCGCAAGCTGTTTTCTGGAGAATGTTACCTATTTTACTTTAATGGATTAGCATGTGTCATCCTAGTCGTGGTGTTTAGTGCAAACATTCTTGAAACTTAACTATTCGAACTCCGAGGCTTTTTAATCACGTACTGACGCAAATTGAATTAGTGAAAAATTGAGGTTAAAAGATCGATGTTAACGGACATGTAATAAAATTTTGAAATATTTTATTGTTTTATGAAAATTGATATCATCTCCCTCTACTATGTTCAATTTAATCGGCTAGGTATATTGTGTACCAGTTTCGTTCTGTCTTGACTGTTGTGATCACTGACATTTTATCGGTCACATAAAGACACACACCATCAAGTTTATTGAGACGAACTAGATTATCAGAACAACTCGCAGATTCGATTACAAATTAATGCCCGATAAAAGTAACTCGTGACCTTGCCTTCGCCGCAAGAAAAAAAGAGGAAAATATAATAGGAATTGCGTATATTTTTGTTATATTTTGCTTTCTTGTATTACGCAAAGTTCAAAAGTTTTTGACAAACATTTGTATTATGATTAGGATTACTGGTACAGTTCAACAGAATACAACTGACGCTTTTTTTTTGTTTATATGCAGTATGGTCCCATTGTTTGAAGTTTGGACCCAAGTAATAATCCAGGGAACCACTTTTTGCAGCAGTTGCAGCGTTAACTCATTCCGTGAAGTATTATCTCATTGAACTGAATCATAAGCGCATGAGTGCAACAGTAAACGCCTAATTATTGAAATTCAAAACAACGTTGGGTAATATTATTTAGTCTTTCGCTTGACGTTTGAGGACTGTAAACATATATTATTTACTCTTAAGAAATCTGCTTCAAACTAGTTTATACATTTTTTGGTGCTTGAAAAACAAAGCGCCCAGTTTGATTTTTAATCCTCTCTGAAAGGCGTAAATTAATGTAAACACCCCGAAGAAACCAACTCAACGCAAAATTGTAATGTTGCCGCTCAATACTAGGTTGAATGGAATTGCTGTAAGAAAATATAGTACTGAAAAATTTATTTGGTTAACTGCAGGGGCGAGTCTAGAAGTTTCCGAAATCCGCCATTTTGACTACGGCAATTGTGAAAACCACTTAATAATGTAAAGTTAGACACAATGGCTTTTCATCCAATTTATCAGTTAAACTTTTGACCTTGAACTGATGTAAAATTGAAAAATGCCAAGAACCTATTATTGAAATGAAGCAACACGGTTAATTAGGTTGCGTAATCTATAAATGGCACTGAATATTTTGGGAGTGGCATGAAATTGTCTTAACTTGCTTATAAGCCATAGTAATTAAAACTATTCACGGT